TTTTAAGTTGTGACTGTTCAACTACTTAAGTAGCCGCCCTACTAAGGGCATTCTTGTAATCTCTCATTATTTTAATTTATGTATATAATTCAAAGAGGGGTTGGCGGCCAGAACTATTCTGTTTTGGGCGACATTCCACTCTCTTTTCTTCTCCTCTCTTCTTCTCTACTGCTGAAACCTTTCAACTTCTACTTTTCTTCACAAGGAATTCATCTAAAACTGTAATCAGCAACTTCTACTGATCCCTTCCATTACAACCAGGATTTCTGCCCTCAAGGAGTCTCCCACACCTATTGCTCATGAGTAAAAGGGCAATAACTCCTCCCTCCTCGTTCTGAAAAACACCTCCAATACCTAAAGGGCTCAGATTCCCCTCACTGTGTTATGGACGCATTCCTCGGGAAGACGTACCCGTTGCCACCGGCAGCAACAGGCACCCGACCCACCACCACCACCACCAGTGATTCAATGATTCTCATCCTACCCAGTTCGGCAACAGCAGCCTTATCTAGATTAGATTAGATCATCTTGCTTGTTCTTATCTTATTCTATTGCTCTTATCTTATCTTGTTAGTAGCTTATCAGATTAGGATTAGCTTATCTTATCCTTAGCAAGATAGAACTGGAAGTCTCCTTATTCAGTAAGGAGACTCCCTTTGATTAGGACTCTTGTAATCTCCTATTTAAGGAGACCCCATTATTGAATGAGGATATCAAATTTCCAGTCAAGAAAGAGAGTAAAAGGAGAGTTCGGTGATCTCTTGGACAAATCACCCTCTAGGACGCACAGATAGGTTCAGCTAGGAAGGGGAGGAACAAGGGAAAACATGAGCTTTTCCCTGTGGACCGACCCGTGACGCGATCCTATTTCCGGACCCATAACACACTGCTACCATCAAAATTCAGTTTAAAAAACCCAATGGATAACTCTGACAGTGATGGCTTCTATGATTTCTTCTCTGTTCCTTTCCTTGTCAAAAAAAATTCTTTGATTTCATTCTTCCCATATTGCCCAACATATTGCCACTCTTGTACACCTCCAAAGGGTTCTTCCTCCTCTTTCTCAAGTTAACAAGGGAAGAAGCAAACAAGCCTTGAACATTTGGCGGGGGGTTCCACCTGCACCCAAACAAAGAAAGAAACCATTCCCAAATATAAGGAGCAAAAGGGCAGGAAATTAATAAGTGGTAACTAGTCTCACCATTAGCCTGCAAAGGATGTACCAATTTTGTCTCTTTCTTTGGAGAGGTACCAAGTTCATTATTACAAAAAAAAAAAACGTCTAAAATGGGAGGGAAATTGTTCTTTCAACGGGAGGTCACCCAACCACACATGTTCCCAGAATTTGACAAGATTACCCGAGCAAAGGTTGTATGTAACAAAGGGAAGGAAAACCAGCTGAATATCATAGATTGATTTCCATGGAGAAGCTCTTGTATCCCTGTTCAACAGTCCAGCATCCCATCCATTAGTTGCAAGCTCATGAATGCTAATAATCACCTTTGCTTATAATTTATCCTTTTCAACTGACAGTCTTCATAACCATTTCCCTATAAGAGCAATGTTCCTTTTCTGAATATTTCCAACACCAAAACCTCCAAATTTTTTGCACTTACTCACCACCTCCCACCTAACCCTATGATCTTTCTTCTCCTCACTAGGCTCCCACAAAAAGTCCCTCACTAATTTTTCTAATTTTCCACTCACACCTTAAAGAATTTTGAAAATTGAAAGGTAGTACACAAGAAAATTAGCCAACGTAGAACTAATCAATGTAATTCTACCCACCAAGGACAAATAGCTTTTCTTCCAAGATGCCAACCTTTTAGTGAACCTCTCTAACACTAGGTTCTAGAAACTAGCACATTTTGGATTACACCCAAAGGAAGCCCCAAATAAATCAAAGGCCACTAAGCCACCCCACAACCTAAGATTTCAGCAACATCAGATATCTCTCCCTGATCCATGTTAATCCCTGCAATGCAACTTTTCTCAAGATTCACCTTCAAGTTTGACAATCTCTCAAATAATTGAACCACCAACTTCAAATTTTGTGTCCACCTCCAATCACCCCCTTCATAAAACAATATAGTATCATCAGCAAACTATAAATGGGTGATTGGAAGTTTGGAACACTCTCTCTACCCACTCTCCAACCCTTCACCAAGTTTCTGGAATCCGCCCTAGAAATTAGTCTTCCAAGAACATCAACAATCAAAATGAAAAGCAATGGAGAGAGAGGGTCCCCTTGTCTAATTCCCCTAAGAGCCTGGAAATGATCAACAACTTTCCCATTCACCAAAACAAAATAGTGATAAGTCCTTATAGACCCCTTAATCCATTTACACCATTTGTCCCCAAACACAACTCCTCAAGACCTGTAAGAGGCAGTCCCAATCTACCGAATCATAGGCTTTCTCAAGATCCAATTTACAAACGAAACCTTTTTTTTCCACCTTTTTCATTTCTTCTACACTTTCATTGGCTATGAGAATATGATCAATGATTTGTCTGTCTTTCACAAAAGCCCCTTGATTTGGGGAAACAATGGAAGAGAGAACATGCCTTATTATATGAAAAAGCACTTTTACAATAATTTTGTAGAGGCTATTCACCTAGCTGATGGGCCTGAAGTCCTAAGGGTGAACAACATCATCCTTCTTTGGAATTAGGGCAATGAAAGTGGGGTTTAAGCCAGGATTAATCACATCCCTCCTGAAAAATTCATTGGAAACTTCTTGGGTATCAATTTTTGGAATCTCTCAACAGTCCTGATAAAAAGCCATTGTGAAACCATCCGGCCAAGGAGCTTTAGATCTATCCATAGAAAAAGTTTCTTCTATGATCTCTTACAAATCAAAACTCATCTCCACCCACATCTGAAGATCTTCTAATAATCTCAGCCACTCTAACCCATCCAGCCACACCCTCTCCCTTAAAGACCTAAAGATAGATTTAAAGTGATCCACAAAAGCCTTTTCAATCTCACTTTGTTGGGTAATTATGGCTCCATTCACCACCAATTTAGAAATGAAATTCTTTCTTTTCCGACCATTTGCCAAAGCATGAAAAAATTTAGTATTACTGTCTCCTTCCTTAATCCACTTATGCCTAGATTTTTGTCTCCAATTGATCTCCTCCTTAAACAACACATCCTCCAACTTCTTCCTAAGGGGCCACCTCAAATCTTTATCTTCCACTCCCAAGGTCCTGTTCTCATCTTTAAGATCCAGTTCCTCAATTTGGCTAATTAATTCCTGTTTTCTTTCTTCCAATCTCCCAAACTGATGGATAGTCCACTGTTTTATTTTGGCTCTCAGATCCTTCAACTACCTTATGGAATAACATGCCCTTCCATTTAACTCTCGGCTGACTTCCTTCCCACCATTCCTTAACTTTCTCCAAAAAGCCACAATGACAGAGCCACATGTTCACAAATCCGAACGGAGTAGGGCCATTCCCTCTAAACTCTTCCTTGGCAATGGAAATAGACCAATGGTCTGAAGTCACCCTAGGTAAAGCTTTGAAAGCCAAACTTCCCCAATATTCTTCCCAGTCCAAGGTAAACAAAAATCTATCCAACAAGGAACATAATGGATTAGCTTAATGATTGCACCACAAGTGAACTTGTGGTATGACAGAGGTAATTCCTTAAGCTGAAAATCATTAATAAATTGATTGAACTTCTTCATACTGGAGCTGCTTGTCTGTCTTAAATTATTGGACTCTTCACCAAATCTGATCACATTGAAGTCCCCCCTGAGCACCAAGGTCCATCCCACAAACCTCTAATATCACCCAACTCCTCCCACAATTCATTCCTTTCTCTATAACCATTCGGACCATAAACATTTGTTAGAACCCATTCAAACCCATCATTCACCTGAAGAAACTTCACGGAGACTATGAATTTACCACAAATTCTTCCACTCCTTCCACGCAATCATTCTGCCACAAGGTAACAATGCCCCTAGAAGATCCCAAAGAGGAAGCAAAGGCCCAACTAATACCTTTGGCCATCCATAAACTTCGAGCCCATTTCCTATCAAAATTCATCAATTTAGGCCATGTTTGGTTCACTACTCTGGGCCTCATTCTTTTCATTCTTGCTCATTTTGGGCAAGAATGAATAACATTAAAGTGTTTGGTTACAAAATTCTTGCCATGGGCCACATTCTTTTTAGAATGAAAAACCAGCCCCATAGCCCAAAAATTGAATAGCATGTAGCATGAAAAATAATTGTGCTCCATCTTGCTCATTTCATTCTTTGAGGAAACTCTGCCTACAAAATTGTTGCCATAGATGTTTACTTTTACGAAAGCACTTTTACGAAAGAACTTTTATAAAAGCACTTTTACATGAAAGAACTTTACGAAAGCACTTCTATAAAATTACTTTACACAAAAGAACTTTTATAAAAGTAAATTTATGAAAAGTACTTTTGCAAAAGTAAAATGCTTTTATGGAAGCACTTTTACAAAAGTACTTTTACGAAAGCATTTTTATAAAAGTACTTTTATGAAAGCACTTTTATAAAAGTACTTTTACATTAAAGCACTTTTTACGAAAGCACTTTTATGAAAGTACTTACAAAAATACTTTTATAAAAGCTCTTTTAAGAAAGTACTTTTATAAACGCACTTTTTACAAAAATACTTTTATAAAAGCACTTTTAAGAAAGTACTTTTACAATACATCTATGCCAATTGGTAAACATCGACTGTTGGAGACCTAGGTTGGCGGTTTATTAATACCAACACAATTTTTTTAAGAATGAAAATAAGCAACATGGGACACTTGCCAGTCTGAAAAGAATTCATTCTTAGGAAAAAAGAATGAGAATTGAACCAAACATGGCCTTAGACTCTTGAAGAAAAACAACATCCAGACTTTCCTTCTTGATCAACTCCTTGATTGTAGCTCTTTTTCTCGGTTCCCTAGACCTCTAAGTACTATCAAATGCATAAGATATAAGTTGAATATGTGTGCAATCAGTTACCTGAAGGTGGGTCAAATTGTCAGTTCTCTGTGCATCCAATACTCGACGTTGAAGAGTTTTCCAGCCCCAATGTTCAAATTTTTGAATGTGTCTAATTGACCCATCATGTGTACACTCTGCATCCACAAGAACCTGATTGAAATTTCAAAGAATCACTCCATTATGAAAGGAGCAAATAACATAAAACTCGAACAAAGTTGAAACAGTTGAATAACCAACTCAATGAACGAACACAAAAAAAAAGGCCAACCATATACCTAAATACCAGCAAGCAGTCTGCTATGGGCACACAATACCTTTTTCTTGAAAATGTAAAGCAACTGTATTCAACTTTGTTTTTGACAGGCCAACAAATATCCTTTTTACTTATTAGTGGACCTGATATTATTTTATTCTTGTATGTGATTAATGGGATGCTTGGCATCTTTGTATATACTTGTTTTATTCATTAATAAGATTTTTCTGTTATCTATCAAAAAAAAATAGTGGGGCACATGGACTAATCTTCTTATTTGTTATTTTCTGCCACCCTATTAAGAGCATATATCTAATTTTCCTTTTAATTGGTAACTAATATAAAAGGTTGTGGGCACTCCCTCAAACCTCATAACTTGGACTGATTCTCTCACATTCTTCTCTGCTCTTTTCTCCCTCTCTTGTCTCCTTTTCTTTCTTCCTGCTGCAACCTATTGCTATTTTGGGTTTCTTATAGAACTCTTCATTACTTTTTACTGCTGAGTTATTTCAACCTAGAGATTAGTTCTCATGCAGTCTTAGTCCAGGAGACTGCATGAGATACGGGGAAGTGCTGGAAGAATCAACTCTTTTGGCCTGGTTTTGGTGATTTCCTGAAGAGATAAAGGTTGCTCCCCAGCAGGAGTCTTGGAGAAGTGCCAAGGAGTCACAATAAACCACAGAAAACCTATAAATCACTGCACGTAGGGTGATTACATGGACTGGGTATGGCATTCAGGGCTTTCTGAGATAGCTTTGCATCTTTATTGAGATCAATCTGGATTGTTTACCATTTAGGTACTTCTGGAGAGATCGATCACCTTATCCCCCTTATTTCAGGATCACAAAATGAACCCTGTAGTAGTGAACTAGTGCTAGACCAACTGTGATTGGTCTGTTGGGCTTGGTTGGAGTTAGTATAGTTCATTGTAGAGACCAATTGCCTTTGGAATGGTTTTGGTTGACTCTGTAGAGATTGAATGTTGGTTCTCATTCTTCCCAACCCTATAGAAGTGATGGGAATCAGTTCAAGGCATATCTAGGGAGAACTAAATTCATTCCTGTGCTTTTTTTTTGTGAAAAGTAAATAAGAAAATCCATTAAAAAAGAGAATACAGAAGGAAGGTGATAATAAATCACCCGAAAGAAGAGCAGACTAACTTAGACACTTCTTACACTAACAAAAACAGCCAGCTAAAAAGAAGACTAAAAAAGAAAAACTAACTCCTTCGGAACCAGATCCTATGCTTATTTGGCACCACTACAATGATATGGAGCCCACATGGAATTGGATTAGCACTGGGATTAACTTAGAAAGATCCTAGAATCTTCAGTCCACTTTAAGATGCTATTTTTGTGGTCAACATTGCTTCTGGACATGGCTAAAATGGATTTTCTACATTTCTGGACACCAAGGAATACCTTCTAACTATGCCTAACCTCCCTCAACCTAATTCTGATAGTCCCAAGCATACCTTCTAACTCCATTTCCTCGCACTCTCTCTCTTCTCCAGCTCATAAAACACTTGTCTTGCAACATAGATACTGGTATTGGGTTTGCCAACACAGGTCCCAACCAATTTTGTCTGTATATGGTGGAGCCTTTGGCCCCTTGGTTCTGTTTAATTGTTGGAAGCCCAAGTTTTTTATTTTTCTGAGTTATGGGCCTTGCATCCTCTATGAGATGTTTGCTCTTTTGTGGATGTTTTCTCCTATTTTTCTATCAGCCCTATAGTGGATGCTTCCCTTCAACTGAGTAGGGTTGAACACTACATAGTGGCCCCGCTAAGAGCATATTTAATGATTAAAGGGAAATTGAGCAATCAGACAACTGAATCAACTGAAATGTTAATGGGTAAGCTAGCAAGTAATGTTCCCACTGTACTTCACATATCACTCTTTCCTCATGAAATATTAACGGCTGTCCTGATTTGTTAAAGATAAAAAAGGGTAGAGAGTACAAAAGAAGACTTTCAGAGACCAATTATGTTCACAACAAAGAACTTCACACACATCATATAATAAGGGATAGAACAAAGTGAAACCTCACTTGAAAGAAAGCCTAAATAGAATTGATGAGCAATCTTAGTTGGTTAAGATTACATCAATCAGGGCTCGCATAAAATAAGATAGGAAAAGAGCAGTGATCTCAGATAGTAGAATTTGGCTAGTATTCCCATCTGGAAATTTCACTTGTGCTTCCTTTTTCACTGCTCTCCTCAAGTCCTATCATCTAATAACATCCTTCCCTACAAAGGAAGTTTGGTGTGACCCGATACCCCCAAAAATAAGAGCCTTTTGTTGGGAAATGGTACTTCAGAAAATCAACACTTTGGATAAGTTACAAAGAAGAAGGCCAAATTGCTGCCTCTCCCCTCGTGTTTGTTGCCTTTGCTTGGGCTGTGGAGAGACAATTACACATCTGTTATTATCCTGTCCTCTTGCTTCGTTTGTGTGGAATTGGTTTTCTTCTCTGTTTGGTTGCAGGTGGACTCCTCTGGATGTGGCCACTCTTTTTAATCTGAGTTTTTTCACATTACCAAAGAAAAGGGGCAGAATAATGTGGAGAGCAACAAGAGCTGATATCCTTTGGTCCTTATGGAAAGAGAGGAATAACAGGATATTCTAAGGAGTGGAAAGAACTAAGGAGCAAGTCATTGACTCCATAATTGTTAGGATCATACATTGGCTGAAAGCAACTGAACCGTTCAAAAATTTCTCAGCTGAGGATATCCTAAGAGGATGGTCAGTAGTGGCTAACTTTTCAGCTGCACAAAGTGTGGTTCAGCCCCTTTGGACACCTGCAGAACAACAAAGAGCAAAATTGAATTTCAATGGAAGCTCATTGGGAAACCCAGGGCCCTCTGGAGTTGGGGGAGTTTCCAGAATGGGGAGGGCAGAATGCAAGCACTTTATTCTGGCCCAATAGGTGTGGGAGACTCCTTAAGGGCTGAAGTTATGTCTACTTCAAGGTATGAGATTGGCAAAGTAATGGAGATATCAAAACCTTGAGGTAGAGGGAAATTCTAAACTTCTAATAGAATGGCTGCAGACAAAAAATCTTGGGTGTATGGACACTTGGACAACAGATGAGGGAAATACTTTGCCTAGAAAGAGAAGTGGGAGTAATCTTCAAATGGGTAAGGAGATCAGCAAATTCCGTGGCTGATAACTTGGCAAAGCAGGAGACTCTCAGGGAAAGCTTGTTTTAATGAAAGTTACTGGGAGTAATCTTCAAATGGGTAAGGAGATCAGCCAATTCTGTGGCTGATAACTTGGCAAAGTGGGAGTAATCTTCAACACTCATGCTATGAATGGTTGACACTTTTGTATCTAACAGTTATTTTAATGAAAGTTACTGTTTCCAATCAAAAAAAAAGGTGCTTTACCTTGTCATAGCCAGAATCCAAGGCTTCACTGCCGCAAGCAGTTTGAAATAGTTCACTTTTAGTAAGTCCAACCACACCAGAATGTTTCCCATAAAATATCATTTCTGGCTCTCGAGTCCCTATAACTAACTCTGAAGCAGTGCCAATTCTTGCCTTACTCGCAATTTTTCTTTCTTTCCATGATCTCTTGGATGTCCACTCCTTAAAATAACCATTGTTCTCCTGAGGCGCAGAGGTACCTGTAGATTTCTAACGGAACAGTAACACTTAAAAATCGGGGAGATGAATGAAAAAACAAATTACCCAGAGACATAGAAGTGCACAAGTTTCTCAATTGAAATTATAAGTGCTGTAATCTAATCTTTTTTTTTTTATGAACAAGTGCTGTAATCTAATCACCATATGACTTTAAGTCAAAATGACCCCTCAGAGGTCGGAGGGAAAATGTTGTTCCATCTGCAACAAACAGTCGGCACCGGTCACCCAATCCATATTTCTGTAACATCGTCCGACAAGCTGCTAAACGATGTCTTGCAACATCTACACCAGTCACAGAACCAGAGGACCCAAGAAGATCCAGGAGCATGCACAGCTTAGCACCTGAAAGTAAAATGAATTGCAAAATCATATCAAATGCCCCATGTGTTTTTAATTTAAAAAGAAAAAAGAGCCAAAAGCTCTAACCAAATATCCACCATATATTTTAGTCCTTGAGGATGGGTAGATCACTGAGGTTTGGAACTGTCAGTGTCGATTATGTAGGGGTAGATTAGTCCTTTTGTTTATGTTTAATATGAGGTGTAATATTGAGTTAGATGATGTGTCCCATACTTAAGTAGGGGCACAAGAGTCATTTTGTACTGGAAAATAGAAAGATTAATACATCCTGGCCGACTGGAGAAGACTGATTTTTCTCTCCTGTTCGAACCAGATTTCTCTCCTCACTCTTCTTCTTTCTTCCCTCTCTTTTCTCTTTCTTTCTTCTTTATCTTTTCTTCTCTGATTAATCTGAAACCAACAGGTATACAGATCTTAACTTTATCTTTCTCTTAGGGTTTTTGGAGTTTGACAAAAAGGCTGAAAAGGAGTGGTCGTTTTCTCCTTCTGGAGGTTTTAATGCCTCCGATTGAGTGTGGTGTGGTCGTTTCAGGTGGCTGGTAGGGAAACCTCTGATGGACAGACGAGGGTTGCTACAGTAAACTCGTGATCTGTGTTCAGGCGTGTGGTTCAGACAGCTGGTCAAAGGGTATGTGGAGTGCTGGTGTGATATTCTTGTGTGTGGTGGTTTCTTGTGAGGTGCCAAAAGAGGAGAAAAGTGGTAACTACCATTGCTGAAATCTGTGATAGTGGATGTTTCAGCAATGGTCAGCCGCAAGTGTGGGATAATGGTGATTGTTCAACTATAGGAGTGTAGTGTGGTGGTTGTTGGTGAGTTGGGGTAACATATTAGTGTGAATAAGAAAAAAAAAATATTTTTTTCGGCAGCCATGGGAGGCAGTAGTGAACACAAATCTGTTATGATCCCTCCTGACTACTTGAATGTGCAAATGACCTCCATCAAACTGAATGGAGAAAATTACGTACCTTGGGCCAAATCTGTTGAAGTGTTTCTCAGAGCTAAGAAGAAAGTGAAACATGTGAGAGAAGAAAAACCCCTAATTGAATCCGAAGAGTACAATGATTGGGAACAAGAAGATGCACAGATTATGACTTGGTTATGGAACATGGAACCCAAGATTAGTGTTAACTTCATGTTCTTAGACAGCCAAGGACATTTGGGATCATGCAAAGAAGCTTTACTCAGGGCAGGACAATACCACTAGGATATACCAACACTATCAAGAGTATTTTAATCTGCAGCAGGGTAATCGGAGTCTTGAGGAGTACTATGCTAGTCTGAGGAATCTAAGGAATGAGCTGAATGTGTATCACCCTCTTACATCAGATGTCAAAATTCAGCAACAGCAGAGAGAACAGCTTGATGTAACCAAATTTTGGGTGGATCTTCCCTCCCTTCTCTTGAAGAGGTGTTTGCCCGTCTCCGGAGGACTTCCATTGGACATCTGGAGAACCCTACCATACCAGATAGGTCTGCTTTTGCAGTGACAAGGAGGGAGGTCGTGGTGGTAGAAGAGTAGTTCATCAGGGTCAGCCAGGCCGTGGTAGTAGAGGTGGACACATGTACAGTCGTGGTGGCGGGCGTGTTGGAGGCCGAGATTCAGGGGGAGCTTGTGGTAGAAGACATAATAATGGTCCGAGGAGGTGTACGCATTGTGGTATGGATGGACACACTGTTAAATTTTGCTATGATCTGCATGGTTCACCTTCATCTTGGGCAAATCATGTAGTGGCTAGTGGTGGTATGGAACAAGGGAGTCAACAGACCAGTCAGACACCTCCACCTACAGATGCCTCTGGACAAGAGATGATGAGTATTTCACGTACTGAATATGAGTGGTTAATCCAGGCAACTTCTCAGCCGAGTACAGCTACGCTTGCCCACTCAGGCATGGCTTGTCTGGCATCCAAACCCTCCCATTGGATCATTGATTCTGGAGATTCCGATCATATGACTGGGACTCCAGGTGTGTTATCTTCACTTTCTTCATCCTCTACTACCCACACTAGCACCCTTGCTAATGGTTCCACTTTCCCCATAAGTGGTATTGGTGATGTTAACACTAGTTCACTATCTTTGTCTTCAGTTCTATATGTTCCTAAATTTCCTTTTAATCTGATGTTTATTAGTAAATTAACCAAGTCTCTTAATTGCTCTATCACCTTTTATCCTTCATCTTGTGTATTTCAGGATCTCAAGACGAGGATGAAGATTGGTGGAGGGCATGAAGCCGGTGGACTGTATTACCTTGATGGTGGTGGTGGCGGTGGTTCATCAACAGCTCTTCAGTCGTCTCTCTTCCCTCTCCAGTGGAATTGCAGACTTGGCCATCCATCTCTTAAAGCTATAAAGCAACTTGTTCCAGCATTGAGTCGTCTTTCTACTTTGGATTATGAGTCGTGTCAGTATGGGAAACATCATCGGCTTTCCTTTATTCCTAGAGTCGAGTATCGTTTGTCGAGTCCTTTTTCTTTGGTCCATTCGAACATTTGGGGTCCAAATAAAATAGTGTCACACAATGGATACAAGTACTTTGTTATTTTTGTTGATGATTATTCAAGGATGGCATGGCTTTATCTTGTGAAAGAAAGAAGTGAATTATTTTCTATTTTCCAAAAGTTTCATGCTGAAATCCGCACTCAATTTGGTATCCATATTAAGATCCTACGTTCAGATAATGGCCGAGAATATTAAGTTTCATGCTTGATATCAAGAATGCTTTCTTGCAAGGTGATCTTCTTGAGGAGGTATATATAGAGCAACCACCCGGGTTTGTTGCTCAGGGGGAGGATGGTAAAGTGTGTAAGCTCAAAAAAGCTATTTATGGACTTAAACAGTCCCCTCGTGCATGGTTTGGAAGGTTCAGTGAAGTAGTGAAAAAGTTTGGCATGAAACATTGTTAAGTCGACCATTCAAAATTTGGTTATGATTCTGATGCTGGGAAGATTTTGTTGGTGGTATATGTGGATGATATTGTTATTACTAGCAGTGACAGGTTCGGGATTGATAGGCTGAAGACCTTTTTGCGTGATCACTTCCAGAAAAAGGATCTTGGCAAACTAAAATATTTCTTAGGGATAGAGGTAGTAAGGTCCAAACATGGTATTAATTTGTGCCAGAGGAAGTATGTCCTTGATCTACTGAAGGAGACAGGATTGTTGGGTGCCAAACCAGCTGAAACACCTATGGAATTGAATATTAAGTTGAGTAGTGATATGGGTGAGGAGTTTGAAGATCCGGGAAGGTACAAAAGTTAGTGGGTAAGCTAAACTACCTAACTATCACTCGATCAGATATTTCATTTGCAGTTGATGTGGTGAGTCAGTTTATGCAGAATCCTCGAGTCCCTCATTGGGATGCAATTCTAAGGATTGTAAGATACTTGAAGGGTGCTTCGGGCCATGGTTTGCTATACAAGAGTGGAGGAAAACTTGAAATAGAAAGGTACACCAGTGCTGATTGGGCTGGTTCTGTATCTGATAGGAGGTCGACTACAGGTTATTGAAACCTTTCTTGGGGGTAACTTGGTAACATGGAAGAGTAAGAAACAGACAATGGCGGCAAGAAGTAGTGCAGAAGCTAAATACAGAGCCATGGCACATACAACTTGTGAACTGGTGTGGTTGAAGAACAAAACATTTCCTCCAATCCAGTCTTTCATGAGAGAACAAAACATAAAGAAGTTGATTGTCACTTTGTGAGAGAGAAGGTTCTTAGTGGAGTAATAAGTACAACTTATGTTAACACAGGAAGCCAATGGGCAGATCTGTTCACCAAAAGGTTGAGTCGGGCAAGAGTAGACTATATATGTAACAAGCCGGGATTCTCTCCAGCTTGAGGGGGGTGTTAGTGTCAATTATGTAGGGGTAGATTAGTCATTTTGTTTGTGTTTAATATGAGGTGTAATATTGAGTTAGATGATGTGTCCCATACTTAAGTAGGGGCACAAGAGTCATTTTGTACTGGAAAATAGAAAGATTAATACATCCTGGCCGGATAGAGAGGACTGATTTTTCTCTCCTGTTCGAACCAGATTTCTCTCCTCACTCTTCTTCTTTCTCCCCTCTCTTTTCTCTTTCTTTCTTCTTTATCTTTTCTTCTCTGATTAATCTGAAACCAACAGGTATACAGATCTGAACTTTATCAGGAACCATAAATGGTGGAAGGGGAAGCAAAGGTGGAAGTGGGTTGAAAAATAATAGGATTGTGACAGTACCCACACATTGTGAGTGAACAAACTTGGCATGGGAGCAGAGGGAGTTGAAGGTAAACTCTAGGGACCACCCCCCCCCCCCGAATAGTTTGCGGGTTTGGCACCTAATTCTATTCTTTTTTTTTTTTGGCAGATCCTCCCACAGGCTTTGCATCCCCAAGCCCTGACAGTGTTAAAAGTGAACAATTACAAAATTACCCACTTGTTTGTACATATGAATGACCAAGGTTTCAACTAATCCAATAATCCCAATTCTTCAAGTGAGTTTAGAAAAGTTCTGAAAAACACAGCCATCACAAGTGATTTACCAAATAACAAATAAAATCTGGGCCATCAAATGGTATCCTAGCATCAGAAATTAATTCCAAACTGGCACATCTAAATGCATAACCAATTAACCCAAATATAGTCAACAAGTTGTTTCCTGAGATCAATAAATTAATCTCCACCATGCATAAAAAAATCTCTACAAATCCAGGCCATGTAAAGTGACATCAAATAAAACTTAACATAAGGACCATCAAAATTACCTCTTATAATCAATTAATTAATCTCAGCCATCCAAATGATGTGCCAAGATGATTTCAATGAGTCAAGGCAAAGCTAGGCAACCAGGCAACATCTAGGCAATGAGTTTTGCAAGTAAAGAACCCCTAAATCTTGAGTTGATTTCTTATTTTGCATAGTAACCAACAATCATCTATACTAATATTTAGCAACAATATTCATCAAATAACTATAAATTTCATGTCAAAACACAAAAAATCA